GCAAGGGAGCTGGTGGGAAAAGCCCAGGTGGGGCAGGTCCAAGTGGAGGCACCAAAGGTGGGCGCATCATGCCGGGACGAGGTGGAGGGATACCTAAACGGAGGAGAAAACAGGCAAATGAAGACTACGAGAATAAATTTTAACTACTATGAAGGATGTGAAAAACAGAGGCTGACAATTTTTTCAAAATTGGCATTTACAGAAAATACGCTAAAACCAGGCTGCTTATTACTATCTGAAACTCGGGAATACGTTTTGATAGTAAGGAATATTTTATTATGAAATAAGATTCACTTTCAGTCTGTACCCCTGTACTTAGGTTTTCTTCCTCTCTGAGTAATGTACTATTTTAAAAGAGAAAGCTGTCAACACCAACTGGTTTCAAATATGATTTCAGATTTGACAGCCGAAGACTCTATTCTAGCTGTATAGTGCAGATGCTATCAAGGCCAAGACTGGGGGTTTGATTCTCATGCATTATTTACCAATTTCCACACCATTCCTCCCCCGAAAAAGGTAACCCAATGGGCAGGAAATGGAATTTTAACCATCAGAGGACATGAATGTAACTGATCACAGTAGGTTACCGCCACTGGGAAAGAATTCATGTCCTTTGATGGTTCAGACATACCGTCGTCGTTTACCCAGAATTGCAGATTTTATTTTCTTCAAATGCCACTTTTAAGAACAATTATAAAATGTCAAATTTCATTGAACTTAAGATACTACTGCTTATACAGACTCATAATTACTCCAGATACCACTGAGAGTCCAAGCTGGGGAGTTTAAGAGGAGACCTTCACATTAAACTGGGACAGTGTAATAAACCAGAAATACACCTACTACATGAAATAAGAGCACAAGGAAATCTGCCTTGTAATTTCAAACTTAAAGTTTGTACTCATGCAAATATATGGAACGACTTCACAATTGCCTCCCCCTGTCCCCCCACCAACACCCTATTCAAATGGAGAATTTAATCCAAAGTGGTCTCTGCCTGGGAAAAGTCCCTCACACGACAGGCAGAATCCAGTGCAAATACCCTGTGGAAGAACTCAACTTCAACCTAGGCCAAAAGCAATTAAAAAACATCATTTTAGGATACCCCTTGATTCCAAGATACTGAAATGTGAAAATATGTCTTAGAGCAGATGAAATACACAGTAGTCAAGTTTTTGTACTAGAAATCAAAAGCTTCACCTGGAGGTGCAGGGGGAGGTAGCCTTGGTGGGGGTCCCCGAGGAGGAGGGCCAGGAGGCAGACCTGGAGGTGGACCTGGGGGAGGGCCAGGGGGTCGGCCTGGTGGTGGGCCTGGAGGCAAAAGTCGGGGTAAAGGCCCTCGGAGTCCCGGCATTCCAGGTGGTCTCAGGAATGGAGGAGCTCCTGAAAAGAGAAAAATGACAAATTAATGTAAGAGACATACATACGAAGTCGTAACTATGGTATAAAGGTAACTCAAGTGTGGTCTGACTTATTAGCATTTTAACTTGAAATCAGGTAACTTCAAAAACTGATCAAAACATAGGTAGAAAAAGAATTCATTCAACAAATATCTGAGCACCAGAGACACGGAACTGGATTTGTTACGGATCATTTCTCTTTATTTGCCAGTACTGACAAAAAGCATAGCTTCTTTTTTTTTTTTTTTAATAGCACAGCTGAGCTGGGCTAGAAACTGTACAAAGAGAAGAATAATTCTTAAATGGGTTCCAAAATAAGCTGAAAATGGAATATAAAGCAGGGTGCTTTAAGGATGCCCCCCTGAAATGCAGGAAGACATAGGCAACGATGCCTGAAGATGACATAAGACAGGTAATGTGCTTTTGCACCACCAATCAGAAAAAGATGAACTCAATGAAGAAAACCTAACTGGACAACTATAGGATGAAGGACTATAAAATCATAAGTAACCAAGAAGTTCAAATTTCAAATGAACTTCTCATTCTTATATGCCAAAGATTATATTAATACTGATCCCTTTTGTCTCTAAAGACCGACATCCAACAATTCCCAACCAAAGAAGGATGCCTGTTAGTATTTACTGTGCCCCAGTCCCATTAGCTATCAACTTAGAATTGGGTCAACTCGTCATATTTAAAAAACAATACTGAAGAAACCCCCAGATTCATACTCCTCTGCCTGCTAACCTCAAAACTACAGAACCCTAAAAAGAGAAGAGCTTTGGAGAAAAAGATGGCTGTCAAAAGTACTATGAATTGCAAACAGTGCTGTAGGAATAAACAAACTGCATGTACCCTTTATCTCTTAGTGACTTATACTAGGAGAAAACAGAACATCGATACTAATGATATGTATTTTTGGAAGGACTTCATCCCTCTAATCACAGGGAGACTTATTTACTCACAATGTATCAGAGCTGACTTACCCGGAGGTGGTCCAGGAGGAAGGCCCGTAGGTGGTCCAGGGGGCCGTAAGGGCGGAGCCGGTGGTGGTCCAAGAGGAGGCGGTCCTGGCATGGGAGGTGCTTGGATCTGAGAAGGAGGGACAGACTGCGGGGGGGCCTGCTGCTGTGAAGAAGCAGAAGATGTGCCATCGGAAAGAGATTCCTCTTTATGCTGTTTTTGTGATTGCTTTTCCGCTTCAGAATCATCGGAATCATCGTCGTCGTCATCCTCTGAAAATTCTTCTACTTCCCGTCCCTCCTCAGGGATTTCCTGACCTAAAAGAAATAGTAAACCAGGTAAATGGAGTCGATTCATTTTCCATAGCCTGCAAAATAGCAATGTCTGAAGACACGTGCTCAATTAAGTGCTTTCTTAAAATTAACAACTAAATGGCCTTCTTCAATAAACTACTTGGATGTGGAGGAATCAAACAGTATTCTACTCAACTATGCTAGCGGAGCACAGTGAAAACAAGCCCAGGCTTTAGAACAAGAAAGACCTGGACTTAAATGGCAGTTTAACCACTTACTAGCTGGGTAACTCTGGGCAGCTTGGAATGTCTCCAAACCTTAACTTTTGTAAAACAAGGATTACTTACTTACTTCAGGGTTGTTGAGATACTAAATGGGAAAATGTACATAAAAGAACTGGCCGGAGGAAATACCCGAAAGGTGATTTCACTACTCTTTCCTTGTCTTACCTGCCATTCGAAGCATCATGGCTTGAAGAGGAGTCAGCTCCTTCATGTTCTTCTTTTTCTTCCTTGATTTTCCAGGCATATCTGCAAATCTTA